TTATAAAGTTTCTAAAATTTTATGGTACATATTAGTCATTTGTATTTTTAATCTAGTTTTTTGCTATTATAATAATCTAATTCTCTGCCTTCTAGTTTGATTGATAGTTTTCTTTTGCTAAATATAAGAATTTATTTCATGTTAAAAATAATCGATTTATAATTGAATACTTAAATTATTCATCACTATTTGAGTCAATTATCATCAATATATCTTGGTAAATGATAGATTTCTCAAAGAGCAATTGGTTTGATAGCGTTACATTGAAAATGTAGTCGCCGGAATATGCGTTTGGTAGTGTATGTCTCATATTTAAGAAAAAAATCGATAAATAACCGAAAAAATCGAAACCGACAATAACCGAATCGATAAAAAACCGACATACTTAATTTGGTTTCTTTTTAGGGAAACCGACCCAAACCGAACCATGAACGCCCTTACTTATAGGTGTTGAGTATTATTGCATTCACTATTATTTTGTTGCTATGTATTTGAAGTTATAATTAGTAAATAAATAATACTCACATATTTCTTTTAACTGTTTACTTATATATACGTCGAGTACTCTAAGGCAATTGATATATCCGCATCTGCTATTGATATATATTGTAATTTGTAGCCCAACTATTACATTGAGAAAGAAAACTTAACATGCATGACGTCTAGGAGTTTTATTATATTCATGAGTTTGACAACATCATGTTAAACATTTTTTTAAACTAATAGCTTTAAACTTTTTATGGTTAAGTACTTTTTTTACGAGATGAAGATATATACTTTTCCCCCAAATTTCTGCATATTGTCATTTTTCATCGCTCAAAACCTTCGGTCTGGTTGCATCAAACTAGATAGTAGATAGATTTCGAGTCAGATTTCCAGAAATAAAGCTTTAGTTGATTAAGACGGTGTTCAGAAAGAAGAGATCACTTCTTACCAAAATAAAGATATAATATACAACTGATTATGATTTACCATTAGAAAAGTAAAAGTCATTTTCAATTCTACAAGGACTAAATCTTTCCCACAAATTAAGATTAGGAAAGAATGTGAAAACAGTAGAATTGAATTTGGCGTAAGTGACCAATCGAAAAATCTTGAGTGGGAAGGACCAATCTCTAAACTATAAACTAAAGAACGCCAAATCGACATGGCTGGTAAACTAAGAATCAACATCTACACTATTATATTCTCTTTCTTCTATAAAAGAAAAAGTGTGATCAGAGAAAGAATAATAATACAAATTGTAATGCCAACCACGATGAAATTATCTTTTCACTGATAAAGAAAGGAAACGAACTTTTTTATAATTTTCTTTTCTCTTAATTTATCCGTGTCTGGCTAAATCAAATAAGAAAATAATATATTGGGTGGTAAGTGGTGACTTTTTCTTCACAAAGCACAAACACAAAAAGACGTGGGCCTTCTTGTTACTTTTCCGTCCAAATAAAATGGCCGCTTCAGAGTAGCTGGTTCAAGTATTAATTAACATACTCCTATACAATTTGAGTTTCAACATAAGTTTACATTAAAGTCTAATCAAACTAATTCGAGTACTAGCACTGCAAGATAACTAGTCGAAATAGGACAACTGCAAAATAAAATTCAAAGCACCACAATTTTCTTTTTGAAGTGTTAGAACAACTAGTCTTGTCAAAAGACTATATATAACCCTCTTCTTGATCCTATTTATACCTTTTTCTATTTATTTTAGGTATTCATTAAACACAACCGGCCTACTGACCTACGTAAATCGAATTTGCATTGGCTGATCACTTTAAAAAGGGTAAAGCGCCGTCTACTACAGAGACGTGATCATAGTTATACGTTAAATTAAAGTTGTGGATAAGACTTTAGAGGATTAATCCATCCCAATGGATTAATATGTATAGAGTTTGCAATTACTGGCTGCTATTAGATTAGTGTAGAGTCTTAAATCTTAATCATATATTAACGCTTCGTAACTGGAACGCTAGCTTACTCATAAGTACCGACTAAATATATCAAACTTAATTTCTATAAGAGCTAATCAAACTTTGAAAAGTGGGGTCCCTTCAGTTTTTGCATAGAACCCGCCAATCAAGCATTAATATATCTTGTTCCTTTAGAGAAATATGGAGTCAGAATCGAAAACTTGCCATTTTGCAAAATAAATTATCAATGGGATACAATATTGTAAGCCAGTCAACTACCAATTACTAAATTTCTTCTCTTTGTTCTCGATCAGTCAATTAATATATTATGGTCTTTATGACCTCTAACTACTAAAAGTTTGTTGGTATATGGCTAACGTGTTGATTCTAACCTATAGATCTAAATTTCGGAGATGAGTAGATCTAGCATCCGTAATTCTTTTAGAGAAATTCTTGCGGTAGACTTAATTAGAAGTAGCACAACTTTTTTACTTCCACACTATTATTAAGTATAATCAGAAGATTATTATGGAGGAGACTTTAATCTGCTGCTCCTCACTAGAATCCCAAGTGTACTAAAGAAAGCGTGTGCACTATATGAGTCCTGAACGAAAGCTTTATACACAGAAATTAAGTAGAGTAGACTAACATTTGACCGATACACGAGTGCTAAGAGAGATGTTGTAAAGTAAGCGAGTAAAGATTGAATGATGAAGGGATAATCGTATTGAATTATTTCCATCATTGTATAAGATGTGTTTTTTTATATATTAAGGAGAATTCGAATGTTAATAGGCTTAACCGACTATTTAATCGTGGTCGAAATTCTATATCAAAGACATTGCACAATCCATCGAAGTAGGCGTTACACCAAAGAAGAATCACACTACTCCATCCTTTTCTAAATCCATCCGTTTCAATTTAGAAGAGCTAGTTTGACTCCACACAGAGTTTAAGAAAAAAAAAAAGACTTTTTAAACTTATGGTCTTAAAAGGTTAAAGATTAAAAACTTTGTGAGGTCATGACATTAATGTGGTTATAAAAACTTTTCATTAAGGATAAAAATGGTAAAAAAAAGAGTTTAAAGTTAAATTATTTTTAAATTTAAAAATATGTCATTTATTTTGGAATAAACTAAAAAGTAAAGCATCATCTAATTTGAAACAATGGGTAATATTTTGGAAAGATAGACAAGTTTTACTATAAACATCTTTTATATATACTATTAAATAAAGTATAAAGTATATGATATTACAATTCATAGTATTTTATTTTTTAAATTTAAGATATAATTATGTTCTCAATGAATCTTTTTGGAAATAACATGTACAGTAGCAACGGGACAACAACAATTCTTTGGTTGAATATATATATATATATATATTTTACTTTACCCTATCGATAATCATCCCAATTATTTTTTACATTTTTTCAACTTTACAACATGAATTGTGGAATGGTTTTTGTGACCTCTCATTTTCAAGGAAAGACTTTAGTAAGACCGAGGAAAGAATCTTAGTGTAAGTTTTGCGGGTACAAATGAGGGGATGGGTACCTAAATACCATCTTTCCCTCTTCTTATCAAACACGAACAACAAAAATGTCTCAAATGCCAAGATTGCCGAACATCTCCCACTTATCCTAATGTCCTCAATTACCCACCAAAACAAAAGAATAACCCATCTTTTGATTCAACAATGAGAAACATTAACACCAAAGAATACTACTCCTACTACTTTCACCAATTTTCGCTCTTCCTTTTGATTTCTCAATTTTTTGTTCCAATTCTTGCCATACCCACTGATACAATCACCCCAACACAGCCTTTAACCAAAGACCAAACCTTAGTATCTTCCGGACAACTCTTTGAATTAGGCTTTTTCAATCCAGGCGGTGTCAATTCAGACAAATGGTATGTCGGAATTTGGTACAAAGAACCACAAGACAGGACTTTTGTCTGGGTTGCAAACAGAGACAACCCTCTCTCAAACTCACCTACCTCTGTCCTAAAACTCACCGAAAATGGCACCCTTCTTCTCATCGACGGTCAAACTAGGAACTCCGTCTGGTCTTCCGATCAAACTCCGGCAAACAACGCAGTAGCTCAACTCCTAGACTCCGGGAACCTTGTCGTTCGACCAGAAAACGATGAAACAGAACAGAATTACACGTGGCAGAGCTTTGATTATCCAACGGACACTTTATTACCTGGGATGAAACTTGGGTGGGACTCAAAAAGTGGGTTAAACAGAAACATAACATCATGGAAAACAGCAACTGATCCAGCTCCTGGAGATTTCACTTTCAAGATCAACACAAATGGATTACCAGAAGTTTTCTTAACAAATAAACAAGAAATTGTCTACAGGAGTGGTGCTTGGAATGGACTTAGATTCAGTGGGGTACCGGAAATGAAACCTACTGAGATTATTTCATTCGAATTTCAGTTCACATCAGATGAAATATATTACATGTTTGAGTTACATAACAAGACATTGTATTCTAGGTTGGTGGTGAATCATAACGTGCTTGAAAGATACATGTGGATTCCGACAAACAGTATATGGAATAGATTTTGGTATGCTCCGAAAGATCAATGTGATGGTTATACAGAGTGTGGGATGTCTGGAATTTGCGATACAAATCTTTCGCCGGTTTGTAAATGTATGGTAGGATTTAAGCCTAAGAATCAAGTGGCATGGGATTTGAGAGATGGGTCTGATGGATGTGTGAGATTTCATAAATTGGATTGTGAAACTGATAGTTTTAATATATTGAGGAACATGAAATTGCCGGATACAACGAGCTCTTTTGTGGATAAAAACATGAATTTGGATGAATGTGAAGCTATGTGTCGGAAAAATTGTTCTTGCACGGCGTATACTAACTCAAATATTAGTGGAAGCGGGTCGGGTTGTGTGATTTGGAGCACCGAACTTATTGACATGCGGCAGTATGCGGCGGCGGAAGGTGGCCAAGTTCTCTACGTTAGGGTGGCTTCTTCTGACGCAGGTATGATCCCATTTTTCTACGGCCTCGTCTAATTTGGATGTTTCTAGTTTCCAATTTCATGTTTTGTTAATTACAACATTTTAACTCAGATAAAGAGGAGTATTACGATAGAGTGACAATCAGAGTAAGAAAATCATAGTACAACAGATTTTCTCGTATTAAAAAGAATTTGTACAATCAATTTTAAGTAATTTAGGATTAACAATTTATTATTAGTTAATCTATGATCCTCTCTGTGGGAGGATCAAATATTGGATGATGGGGACGAGTTGAGTCGACTCGGTTAGCACCGGTGGGTTAGTGAATAGTTGACTGGTGGAAATTTGAAAATTTTCATTTATTTATTTGTTTTTTTTAATAATAATAATTCAAAAAAGTAATAATTCAAAGCGAAAATTAACATAAAAAGGGTAATGAAATTTTAGGAAAACTTTTGTGAAAGTTTGAAACTTTTGTAAAAGTTTGGAAAGTATTTCTATGATTGGAAATATGCAACTGTTAAGTTAATAGTATAGAAATTTTAATTTCACGCAAAAGATTATTTATTTATTTATTTATTTATTTGTTTGTTCATTCATTTGGCAAACTTGCTGTTCTCCATATTATTCCCACTATACATATCTTTTTTCTTTTGAATCTACCTTTTACATCCTAAACTGACAAACTTTCAATTTAAAGTCGCGTTAACAAGTTTGATCAAATTTATTTGTCCGAAATTGTTTGCTCTTTAAGAACCATTTCGTGAATAAGAAAAAAACGTATAGCAGTTATAATTTAACTTTTATCCGATCGAGTTCAGAAGCTGATCAAATTAGCCCATGATCAAAGAAGAGATGGACTGCAATAATTAGATGAAATTTTATAAAAATATATTACCTTATTGTTTGTTCATTTGGGAGGTAATAATTTTTTACTATTCCCTCCCCACCAAGAACTTCATGCAGAAAATAAATTAAGGATTTTATTTTAAACAATAGGTATAGTTGTCTGCTGTGCTTGGTTCCCTTTCTTGTTACCTACTTTAGGAGATCTAAAATTTATATAATCAACTAGATTCAAAAAATAAATAAATAAATAATAGCCTGTTTGAAGTTCGTTTCTAATTCATGTAATTGCTTGTTATCAATACAACCTTTGAAAAACCAAGAAGGTAATATATTGATTATTGAGTACATTAACTCCTGAAAAAGACTCATAAACAACCAACTTTCAAAGCTATTGGCTATATATTCTTAGTGGTGTGCACGTTTTACATCTAATAATTTTCTTTTTTTTCCCCCCTCTTTGCGTGTTCTACTTTGAAAACGAAAAGAATAAAAATCCAACCATATTTAACAACCCTATCTTCAAATTGCTTTCAATAGGGACCTACTTATATTAATCTACTATTTGGACTTTCTTTTTCTCATTTGATTAGATAGGGATGGTTAGTATTTGAAGAATATGTTAGACAGTCATGCATCTCAAGGCTCTAAAAGTAATCGCCACCCAATTTCTAATCTCCTACTTAGATATTTGTACAAATAATGTTGATCTATTATTACAATTCAGTTTTGAAATGTTTGAGACTGAAATTATGGTGACTTTAAGAATTTACTCACTATAAAGGAAAATCTTTTGTGAAGTAAGATCGGATGACAAACCTTAATAAAAGGGTGTTTCCGCCACTAATTTTGTAAATGTTCCTTCCTTCTACTAATATTTTCTTTTTCCACACAGTTCAAAAGTGACCAAAATTTGCATTAGCTTTTTCTTTTATACCTTCTTCTTAAATGGGTGCATGACATACTGAAATAGTAAAATATAATCCTCCCCTTTTCTTTTTTGCTTTCATTTTGCCTTTTGGATTCATAAACTTTTAAATTTTGGTGGGAAATAAGTTTATTTATATCTAATTATTTTCCATTAATTGGTCCACATAAAGTGGGCCCTACGCTACTAAGCCCTGCCTATTAATTAAAAGTTTAAAATAAAACGGTGAAGAAGCAAATTCCTGGACGGTATGATGGGCCCCATACATTTACCATAGTTTCGGCTCCATTCTCCAATGTTACATGGCCGACGATTTTGACTTAGTTTAGTTCCCTTTGGGCCAGCCCAGTTGCTTTTCATTTTTCTTTTTAAAGAAAGAAGAATCAGAATCATATGTTTCCTAGTGTAATACAAAAAAATTGATTTTACTAGCAGCAATAATTCGTGGAGCCTACTGAATACCAAGTCCTTATTGACTAAAGACTACTTAAATTGACCGAGAAAATGTCGTGGATGGATGTTAATATTTTACTGTCCTAGTAGATAATTGAATAATAATTTCGTTTTGTTAAAAAGATAAAGTGAATTGATGGAAAAAGGAAAGAAGAAATGAGACAGTGACCATAAATATCACTTTTACTCTATCGCTAGACTTGGTTAGTGTTTGGACAAAATTTGGTTGAATTTGAAAAATAATTTTGGAAGTTAAAGTTGTGTTTGGACATGCATTTTACTTGAAAGAAATTAAAAAAAATTTCACCCAATACTGGCCCAAACTAATATTTGGAACTTGACAAATTTTCTTTAATTTTTTTTTTTAAAAACTGATCTAATTTTATGAACAAATAATATTTTTAATTATGTCCAAACGGGAGCAGTGCCGAAAAATACGAATAATTTTTTCCTTATAAACAAGAAGAAATAAGAGGTTCTGGAGTGGGGCTCTGGAGAGTTTTCTTGGACCACTCTGGGTCAGTGGCTGAGCCACTTACACAGGAAGCGGTGTCAAATGACACCCCTTTATAGAAAAAATATACGGTGATAATTTTTTTTTTATTATATATATATATATATATATATCTATATATATATATATATATATAGATATATATATATATATATAGATATATATATATATATATAGATATATATATATATATATAGATATATATATATATATATAGATATATATATATATATATAGATATATATATATATATATAGATATATATATATATATATAGATATATATATATATATATATAGATATATATATATAGACTCCCTTTAATTTCCTGGTATATTCTTTTATATATTTTGACACTCCTCTGGTATATTCTTTTATATATTTTGACACTCCTTAAGTAAAATTTTGGCTCCGCCGCTCCTCTGAGTTTGGTGACGCGTGATACTTTCCTTTCTTATCAATGAGATGAGACATGCTTTACACATGGCTTTGAAAATATGCACTTTCATTTTCATGTAAAAGTTGATGTTCAATTTCGTTTTCGGTTTCCATTGTTTCTATCTGAATAAAAATCCATTGAGTTATGTTGTGGACACATGCACCTGTGTGATGTAGTTTTGAGAAATTGTGTCATATTTTTAAGATTACGCAAACCTTCTTTGTTGTTATCTATACCACTAAAATATTTGTTAACATCATTTGAACAGTAGTCTTTTAAACTCAAACACTTGCCATTGTCTGATTTTGTTTAATTATTTATAAAATGAAGTATAACATTGTACTGTAACTTACTGAAGGAAATGTGATTTCTGTGAAGCTATAGGTTTTCAAACAGAACAAAAATGATTCTTTGATTATACCACAAAGTTCTTGGAAAAATCAATTAAGCTGCATTTAACTTGGAAAGTTTTTATTTCAGCTGAAAGTGGAGGTGTGGGATCAAGCAAGACAAAGAGAGTTGTAATAGCTGCTGGGATTACAGTTGGTATAGCTATTGTGCTATTCGGAGTAATACTCTACTTCTTATCAAAGAGAAGAAAATATCAAGGTTCAATACGAACTAAGTCTGAAAACAAAGGTATTGGAGACCATAATATGTCATAATTAATAAGATTGTCTAATATGAAATGCTAATGAATGTTTCTTATGATTCAAACCAGGCATTAGTGAAAGAAGTCAAGAACTTCTAGTGAATGCAGCTATCATTCCAAGTAAAAGAGAGTTTTCTGGCGAAACAGCAACGGAAGAGTTTGAATTGCCATTATTTGATTTCAGCACCCTAGCTATGGCTACAGAAAATTTCTCCCATGCAACTAAGTTAGGCCAAGGTGGTTTTGGTTGTGTTTATAAGGTAAATGCTCAGTTATATGTAACCATACTGGTATAATAAAGAAAAAAGATGATCAAGGAACTCAATAAGATTTTTTTTAATTTTTTATCAGGGAATTCTGGTTGAAGGTCAAGAAATAGCAGTTAAAAGGCTCTCAAAGAATTCGGGCCAAGGAGTAGAGGAATTTAAGAATGAGCTAAGATTGATTGCTAGGCTACAGCACAGGAATCTGGTCCGGCTTCTTGGCTGTTGTGTTGATATGGAAGAAAAGATGCTGATCTATGAATACCTGGAAAATAAAAGTTTAGATTCAATTTTGTTCAGTAAGTATCTTTTTGTTATATTGTTGTCATGAGAGTAGTGATTCACATAATTCTCTGGCTTATGTAATTTGTGACTCACATTACAAATATGCTCATCAGATAAACAGAAATGCCTACTGCTGGACTGGCAAATGCGGTTCAATATTATTTGTGGGATTGCTCGGGGGCTTCTATACCTTCACCAAGATTCAAGATTTAGGATTATCCATAGAGACCTTAAAGCAAGCAATATTCTCCTAGATAAGGATTTGACCCCCAAAATATCAGATTTTGGCATGGCAAGAATTTTTGGCGGAGATGAGACTGAAGGAAATACAAAGAGAGTAGTTGGAACCTAGTAAGCACACAACATATAATTTCTTCACACCATTCGTAGAATCCTTAAAAACTGCTTCTAATCCATTTCTCTTTTAATGCAGTGGTTACATGTCTCCAGAATATGCGATGGATGGCCTCTTCTCTGTTAAATCTGATGTTTTCAGCTTTGGGGTTTTGGTGCTAGAAATAGTTACCGGGAAGAAGAATAGAGGATTCTATTATCAAAATAACCAACTCAACCTTCTTGGACATGTAAGTTCACCAATCATATGTTAGCTTCATTCTTGGCAATGCGTTTATCATTTCTGATAAAGAAAGTAATTTATTCTGCAGGCGTGGAAACTATGGAAAGAAGGGAGAGGATCAGAGCTACTGGATCCATCTGTTGGAGAAACGTTTTCTCCGTGTGAAGTAATGAGATGCATACAAGTTGGACTGTTGTGTGTCCAGGAGCAAGCAGAAGATAGACCAAAAATGGCTACTGTGGTTTTGATGTTAGGCAGCGAAAGCGCATCACTTCCTCAGCCTAAAACCCCAGGATTTTGCCTTGGCAGAAGACCGGTTGATTCTGATTCACATTCAACTAATTATGAAGAAACTTGCACTGTCAATCAAGTTACAGTTACCATGATAGATGGCCGATAGTTGATGTTGTCTTCCTCAAAAGTGTATATTACTACAAGAGGTTCACAATTTTCTCTTGTACACTTCCTCTCTTTTTTGTTTTTGGTTAAGTCTTGTGGAAGCTAAAGAGTATTAGGTATTCTTTCTCATTACATACAATTGTGATCTCAGAAAGCTAGCTGCGTTTTTCCATCATCTATGTAAAAGTCTAATCATTCCTATTCCATATCTCTGAAGTTCACTGTAAATTACTGTGCCATCATTGATGTGATTCAGAGGGAATAGTTTGTGTTTTCATCTTCGCTGTAAGTTTTATCTCCCTGCTATTACATCCCTCTTAACAACACGGTTCTTCTTTCCACACGGTTGCGATGAAGATAGCAGCATCTACATTATGACCTATTGCACTGTAACATTGTGATGATTGTTCTAAAACGTGCAAACCTCCAATAAAAGAAAAGACCTCAAGAAGTAACAAAATACAAAAGGCCAGTTGACTTCAAGTTCAGCTAAAAGGATGTCATAATGATTTGTGTAGCAAATCTGGTCTTTTTGTTGGACTCAGGCCCAACACTTGCTCATACCACTGAATGAGTTTTGTATTTACTCAACTAAAGTATAAAATGCATTCTTAGTTATATAGAACTGAGTCTTACAAATCACTTAAACATGTCTTAGGTACCTGATATCAAAAGAGGCCTCATATTTTATCATTTTGAAAGATGTAGACAATTTCAGTCTTAGAATTATTTTTCGGTTTCTCTTTCGAAGATTAAGTGTTGGCCCAAGTAAAGGATAATTTTGAAGATTGACAAAGAAACTCAGGGATGAACTAGGTCCATCACTGGTAGGCATAGACATGGGCAGATTCAAAGCACGTGAGATGCACATGCAGGAGATAAACGAAATCTGGCATAATAATAGATATCTCCTAATTGAAAAGATTGCATAATTGATAAAGAGAAGGACTCCTTACTCAACGAAAACATTATCCAAGATAAGGAAGGAGTTAGGAGTTGAGATTAACTAGAACTCTTCCACCAAGGAAGAGTAGCATTAGAACTCTAGTTGTTTTCTACTCTACTAACTCTATAAATCGCAGGATGTTCTCATTCTACACGTGACACATAAAAGCAGAAGTTAAACGTGAATTGAGAGCAAAATAGCAAAGTATTTTGCAAGCAGTTCGTGCGTGATTCAAGTGTGCGAACCTGAAGCTACATGAACCAGATAGAAGAACTAGCTCCAAGTGTCCGTCTTTTATTCTAGTTCAATTGTAGTAGGTGTTTTCATATTGTACCTTTCAGCTTTATCTAGAGGCAATTGTAATAGGTCCTCAGAGTATTCAAGTTAGAGTTAACTTGAAGTTATCACAGCAGTTAGAGGCTGGTTGCCACAACGGGATTAGAGTTAATCCTAGGTTTACAAAAGTATTTTGTAAATGCAGTTTTTGGCTTAGTGATTTAGTGGAGAGTTTGGGAAAATCCTACTGGGAAGTAGGTCGTGATTTTTTCACCTTTTGAGCCAGGTATTTTCCACGTAAAATACTTGTGTTCTTTAAATTCTGCATTTATTATTCCGTAACAATAGTATAAGGAACACATAGAAGAACCAGGTACTTCTATAATCTGTGCACGCGAAAAATTGGACACCACACAAATCCCCCCCTCCCCCCTCCCTCTCGTGTGATATTGAAGTTAAAACATCATTAAGGTCCTGGGAATGATGGTAACACAAGTTGTAGTAAATTCAGTACTAAAATTGGAGTACAGAGTGGACCATAATGGTAAAGCTCAAAAGATTATTGTAATCTAATATGGTATGTAGTGGACCTCATTGAAATTGTTATTCTCAAATTCCAGATTTTCACCCCAATCTCCACACACATGACTCATGACTGGCTATTGATAAATTGGACACCACACAAATCACCCCCCTCTTGTGTGGTATTGAAGTTAAAACATCAATTGGTATCAGAGCAGGTTATCCTTTAAGAGGTTAACACCTTAGGAGAAGATCAAGATGAGTGCACCACCTGGAAACTGGGAAGGGCAATCCACTGCTAGGCCACCACTCTTCAATGGCCAGTACTACTCCTAGTGGAAAAACAGAATGAGAGACCACATAATAGGAGAAGACTATGAGCTATGGGACATTGTCACAGATGGTCCATTGACTACCATGAAGATAAATGCCGAAGGAGAAGAGGTGCCAAAAACAAGAGCTGACTGCACTGCTGACGACTCAAGGAAATGGGAGAAGAATGCTAAGGCCAAGAAATGGCTCGTGTGTGGACTTGGTCCAGACGAGTATAACAGAATTCAAAGCTGTACTACTGCTAAGGAAATTTGGGACACTTTACAAGTGGCTCATGAAGGAACACCTAAGTTGAAGAGGTCCAGAGGAACGTTACTATATTCTCAATATGAGAATTTCACTATGAAGAAAGGAGAAACCATCCAAGAGATGTATACAAGGTTCACCATACTAACAAATGAACTTAAGTCTCTTGGAAGGGTTATTCTTGAAGAAGACAAAGTTGAGAAGATTTTGACAAGGGTTCTGCCAGTCTCATGGGAGAGCAAAATCACTGCTATTCAGGAATCAAAGAACTTTGCCACTCTTAGGTTGGATGAGCTAATTGGAAATCTCATTGCTTATGAACTTAGAAGGCAACCCATGAAGATGGATGCACCCAAGAAGGAAATGAGCCTGGCACTCAGAATCACTGAAGGTTCTGATCTAGAAGATGATGAAATGGCTATGATCACAAAGGACTTCAAGAAATACCTAATGAGAGGAAAGGGTTCTTCAAGAAGTGGAGACTACAACAAACCAATGGTTCCTGAAAAACAGACTAATGAGGGCTGCTACAAGTGTGGGAAGACTGATCACCACATCAAAAACTCTCTCAATGGGAAATTGAATGGAAGAAGGAAAGAGCTGAACGAAGAAACAGAAAGAAGGAACAGGTTCATCCCAAGAAGAACAAAGGATCAACAAAGGCTATGGTTGCTGCTTGGGGATAAAGCTCAGATGAGGACTCAGATGATGAAGATGAAGATGAACAAGCACGTATGGCAATTGGAGAATCCGATGAGGAATCTGAAGTAAGTATAATCCATCTAAAAGACAAGATTAAGTTTTTGTCTAAAGAAAGGCTATCTGAGTTACTTCTAGATTTCATTGATGAATCTGAGGATATAAACAATGAAAAGAAATAACTGTCTAAGGAATGTGTGATTTTAAAAGCAAAGTGTAAGAACCTGGAACTTAGAGTTAGTGAGACTGTAAGTGAAAATACTGCACTAACGAACCAGGTTAATGCATTTGAATCAAATGTCCTAGAACTTAGATCTGAAAACTTAAAACTAAAATTAGGAACAAGTAAGAAGACAGCTGATTGCACACAACTCACTCTAGAAGAAAATGTAGGTAAACTAAAAGATGAGTTGTATAAGAATGATGAGCAGGCAAGAATTTTGACAGAGGATCGAGGCAAGGTCAAGCATGAACTAGACAGAACTTGTAAATGGAACAGGTCCTCCGATGCACTGTCATGGCTACATGAACATCACAGTAGTAATAGAAGAGGAATTGGCTTTGGGAATTTGCCACCTAAATGGGATCCCAAAAGCAAGTATCTCACATTTCCTGAGAACAAAATTTGCACACACTATGGTAAGACTGGTCACTATAAAAGTGAATGCACTGCAAAAGAAAAGGCTAGTCAAAAGAATAAAACGTTTGTTCAAGGGAAAAATAGGCTTCCAGGTTGGGCTAAAAAGAATTTGATTCATCCTTTTGCCTATAGAAAGGGACCCAAACTAGTTTGGGTTCCTAAGACTAACCCTTGATTTCCTTTTGCAGGTCCAAGTGAAGGGGAGCAGCCAAATATGGTACATGGATAGTGGCTGCTCAAAGCACATGACAGGAAGCAAGAACCAGTTCCTTTCACTTGAGGACCTCAAATGAGGTAATGTCTCCTTTGAAAATGGGAAGAAAAGTGAAATCATTGGGGTTGGTAAGATAGGTAAGACTGACTCTCACTCGATTGAGAATGTCTATTTGATAAACGACCTAAAATACAGTCTAATTAGTGTATCACAACTGTGTGATAGAGGTAACTTGGTAGCATTCACCTCTACAAAATGCTTTGTGATTAATCTTACCACTAACAAGATTGTTTTGCAGGGAAAATGAGTGAACAATATATATATTGTACATCTGTCCACACTGTCAGAAAATGAACTCACTTGCTTAAGTGTGTTGGACAATGATCCCCTCCTTTGGCACAAGAGACTTGGACATGCAAGTCTGAGTCAACTCAACAAATTAGTCTCCAAGGACTTGGTGATAGGACTGCCTAACATCAAGTTCAAGGAAGACAAAGTCTATGAGGCTTGTGCAAGGGGGAAGCAGGTAAGATCCTCTTTTAAATGCAAGAAAGTGGTAAGTACCACTAGAACGATGGAACTGGTCCATATGGATCTCTGTGGTCCAATGAGAACATTAAGCAGAGGTGGTAAAAGATATGTGATGGTGCTTGTTGATGATTACTCTAGGTTTACCTGGACATTGTTCTTAACATCTAAAGATGAAGCATTTGACATGTTCACTTCTTTTGTTAGAAAAACTCAGAAACAACTAGGTAATCAAACTCGCATCAATTAGGTCTGATCATGGCACTGAATTTGAAAATGCTAAATTTGCTGAATTTTGTGATGAGCATGGCATAGATCATAATTTTTCTGCTCCTAGGACTCCACAACAAAATGGAGTAGTTGAAAGAAAGAATAAGACACTTGAAGATATGGCTAGGACTATGCTTCTTTCTAGTAAACTGCCCCATAGCTTCTGGGCAGAAGCTGTAAATACTGCATGCTACATCATAAATAGGTGCATGACTAGACCTCTTGTAGAGAAGACTCCCTATGAGTTACTTAAAGGGATAAAACCAAATATATCCCATCTTAGGGTATTTGGATGCAAGTGCTTTGTGCACAACAATGGTAAAGACTCCATAGGCAAGTTCACCCAGAAGTGATGAGGGAGTATTCTTGGGATATTCTTCACATAGCAAAGCCTATAAAGTCAATAACAAAAGAACTATGTGTGTTGAAGAAAGTGTTCATATGGTTTTTGATGAAACTAACATTCTTTCTGAGAGACAAGAACATGATGATGAAGCAATTGGACTGGTAAGAAACTTAAATGAAACCACAGCCCAGACTAAAGCTGCACTGGAAGAAGGAACAAGTGATGGAACAGGTCCTTCTACCCAGGGCAACCTGACAAGGGGAACAGAACTAAGAGGAAATGATCCCCAAACCTCAACGGAACCTGTCCGTGAACTTGTTCCGCAGCAGCAAAACAATGAAGGAACATCAAGGGGAAATCAGTTGGTTGTGAAACCTTACAAGTATCAAAGTTCTCATCCCATTGAGAACATAATTACTGATCCAACCTCTGGAATCAAAACCAGATCTTCATTAAAGAATCTTTGTGCTTTTGATGCTTTCTTATCTCTTATTGAACCTAAAAATGTTGTTGAAGCTTTGCAAGATGCAGACTGAGTAAATGCAATGCATGATGAACTCAACCAATTTGAAAGGAGTCAAGTTTGGCATCCGGTACCAAGACCCTTAGACAGATCAGTAATTGGCACAAAATGGGTCTTCAGAAACAAACTTGATGAAGATGGAACTGTTACAAGGAACAAGGCAGGATTGGTGGTTCAAGGATATAGCCAGGAGGAAGGCATAGACTATGATGAAACCTTTGCTCCAGTTGCAAAGTTGGAAGCAATAAGACTCCTTATAGTCTTTGCTGCTTACATGGAATTCACTCTCCACCAGATGGATGTCAAGAGTGCCTTCCTCAATGGCTATCTAAAGGAAGAAGTGTTTGTCAAGCAACCTCCGGGGTTTTAAAGCATGGAGAGTCCTGATCATGTGTACAAACTTGACAAAGCACTTTATGGGCTCAAGCAGGCGCCAAGAGCATGGTATGAAAGATTATCAAAATTTTTGCTTGAGCATGACTACAAGAGAGGTAAAATTGACAATACTTTATTTTTGAAAGAAAAAAGTAAAGATCTCTTGGTAGTGCAGATATATGTTGATGATATAATCTTTGGAGCAACTACTGATAAGTTAAGTAAAGAATTTGCTAAACTAATGAGGAGTGAATTTGAAATGAGCATGATGGGTGAGCTTAATTTCTTTTTAGGCTTACAAATTAAATAAAATCAAAATGGAACTATGATCCATCAACAGAAGTATGTAAAAGAGTTGCTAAAAAGGTTTAAAATGGAAGATTCCAAAGAAATTGACACTCCTATTGCAACAGCTACAATGTTGGATATAGATGAACCTGGTTTATCTGTCGATCAGAAGTTGTATAGGGGAATGATTGACTCATTGTTGTATCTCACTGCAAGTAGACCTGACATTGTCTTCAGTGTAGGCCTTTGTGCAAGATTTCGGGCAAATCCAAAGGAGTCTCACTTGACTGTTGTCAAGAGAATTTTGAGATATCTAAAAGGCACCACTAATCTTTGTCTTTGGTATCCAAAAGGTAATAATTTCAATCTTGTGGGATATGTTGATGCTGATTATGCAGGTTTTCTTGTGGATAGAAAGAGCACCTCAGGTATGACACACTTTCTTAGCTCATGTCTTGTGTCTTGGGCTACCAAAAAGCAAAATTCAGTGGCTTTATCTACTGCTAGAGCTGAGTGTGTTGTTGCTGCTTTATGTTGTGCTCAATTGTTGTGGATCAAACAATAATTAATGGACTTTGGAATTGATGTTGGTTGTATCCCTATTTTTTGTGATAACACTAGTACAATTAATATGACCAAGAACCCGGTTCATCACAAGAGAACTAAGCACATAGATGTTAGGCATCACTTTTTGAGGGATAACTATAAAAAATGGTTGATCACTGTGGAATTTTGTGCTACTGACAAGCAAATAGCCGACATCTTCACAAAATCCCTAAGTAGAGATCACTTTGAAAGGAACTGGTTAGAATTAGGGATGATTAAGATCACCTAAAAAGATCAGTTCAGAATTCACAACAAAAAAAATTGAAAAAAAAAATTTGTTGGTTTTGGTTAGAAAATCTGAAAATGTGTACATAATTAGATTAATTTTTGCTCATACTCATACTTTCAATAGTATACTCTTGTGCCATGTGTTAAAATGGCTCATTAATCTCTAATGATGTTTTCTCTATTTTGGCAAATTTAGACTTACACAAGAGAATTATCAGTGAAGAACCTGGTTCATCAAGATAACACGGTATGTTTTCTACACTCTGCATAATTTAAAATAATAATATTTGGATCATGAGCAGAGTCCTACTTAATTCCAAACTTCTTTTGGACTTATCCGTTATAAGTGAACCAGTTCTGTTCAAAAGAGTCCCAACCGAATTGAAGTACCTAGATTCTAGGGATACACTCCAAAGTCTTTTCAAAACTGAAATTCAGTTTGATTAGACTTCCATACCCACTATTATCCCTTCCACCACCCCAACCTCTAAGAAAAGAGTAAAGATGCGCAAGACTATAGCAGGGAGCACATTATCAAAGAAATTAGATAACAATTGAAGGATAGCCAGGTCCAGGAACCTCAGAAATCTGAAGACTCATTTAAATCTGCTACTGAGGGGGAAGAAACGATTTCTTCTGAAACCGAACATGTATCTTCTGGTCCTAAAGTTACTCCTGAGACAATTTCTGAAGTTGATACAAATTTGGAGATTAGGTTTGTGCTGGTAGGGTCTATAGCAGATGTTGAAACTACAGAGTCTGGAGGAATTGGTGGTAAAAATGAAAAAAAGAAAAAGAGAGCAAGGGTGTTCGAAGTGCTGTGAGGGGAAATGGTAAAAGAGTGGTTGATTCTTCACCCACTCCTGTGAGTTTAACCAAAGACATAGGTGCAATGGTTGTTTGGGGAGAAAAATCAGCTGGAGTAGAGGAGAGTGTAAAGAAAACAGGGGGAAGTGGGTCTGGCGAAGCCGCTGAAGGGCTGGTTCAACTCGGAAAAAATATAGATGAACCCGTTTCATCTGAACAGGAAACCCTCGCAGACCTACTGGAGAGAGTGACTGAAAGTTGTAATCCAAAGAAGAAAGGGAGGTTGGTACAAGCAAAGATCATTTTGGGGTAAATACGCTGCCTGCTTGTGATGAAGTCCATGTCATTCTTAAAGAACCTGGTTCATCTAAGAAGGTACCAGTGAATAGCAAGGTACGAGCCTTGGTGCAAGAAAGTAGGGCTAAAAATGCTGAGATTGAGAGGCTGAAGAAAAGGTTGGCTGAGGTAAAGTCTGAGAGAGATGCTCTTAGAACTGAACTAGCAAGGGAAAAGGAGAAGAATGATAGAATTCTTCAAGACATGCTGAAACTTCTCCAAGCCAAAAAAAAAATCAAGCCCCCAGTTCTTCCAAGCCTTAAACTTCTAGCCTAGTGTAGACCTTTCATTGATCCAGTTTGGAATTTTTTTTGTTTTCTCATGTTTTCAGTATTTTTATTTTTTTTATGCTTTGTGGAAGAATCGTAACAATCATCAATGAAATTCACTGTTTTTGCTTTAACTGTTTGTTTATATTTCTTTGATGATTAAAATTCTTAGCTTGATCTATGATGATTAATCCATGATTGCATTTGAAGTAGCCCCAGTGGCCATGAGTAAGATTTAAAATCTAGTTATCTCACATTTTTTATGCAACTTTTCGATGATGCCAAAAGGGGGAATAAGGTTGTGCTTTACATTTTGAACAGTGATGTTTATAACCTAATGAACCTGGTCCTTGATGATAAGTGAAAATTATTCTAACATTGTGTTGATGTTGGGATAAGTTGAAATAGGCCCTAAGCTTATGGAAGCACAGAGTTTGTCATCAACAAAAAGGGAGAATTTGTTGGCCCAAATAAAGGATAGTTTTGAAGATTGACAAAGAAACTCAGGGATGAACCAGGTCCATTACTGGTAGGCATAGACACGGACAGATTCAAAGCACGTGAGATGCACATGCAGGAGATAAACGAAATCTGGCATAATAATAGATATCTCCTGATCGAAAAGATTGCATAATTGATAAGGAGAAGGACTCCTTACTCAACGAGAACATTATCCAAGATAAGGAAAGAGTTAGGAGTTGAGATTAACTAGAACTCTTCCACCAAGGAAGAGTAGCATTAGAACTCTAGTTGTTTTCTACTCTACTAACTCTATAAATCGCAGGATGTTCTCATTCTACATGTGACGCACAAAAGCAGAAGTTAAGCGTGAATTGAGAGCAAAATAGCAAGGCATTTTGCAAGCAGTTCGTGTGTGATTCAAGTGTGCGAACCTGAAGCTACATGAACCAGATAGAAGAACTAGCTCCAAGTGTCCGTCTTTTATTCTAGTTCAATTGTAGTAGGTGTTTTCATATTGTACCTTTCAGCTTTATCTAGAGGCAATTGTAATAAGTACTCAGAGTATTCAAATTAGAGTTAACTCGAAGTTGTTGCAGCAGTTAGAGGCTGGTTGCCACAACGGGATTAGAGTTAATCCTAGGCTTACAAAAGTATTTTGTAAATACAGTTTTTGGCTCACTGATTTAGTGAGGAGTTGGAAAAATCCTACTGGGAAGTAGGTCGTGGTTTTTTCACCTTTTGAGCCAGGTGTTTTCCACGTAAAATACTTGTGTTCTTTAAATTCTGCATTTATTATTCCGCAATAGTAGTATAAGGAACACATAGAAGAACCAGGTCGTTCTATAATCTGTGCAAGCGAAACACCACACAAACTCCCCCTCCCCCTCCCCCGCGTGTGATATTGAAGTTAAAACATCATTAAGGTCCTGGGAATGATGGTAACAGAAGTTGTAGTAAATTCAGTACTAAAATTGGAGTACAGAGTGGACCATAATGGTAAAGCTCAAAAGATTATTGTAATCTAATATGGTATGTAGTGGACCTCATTGAAATTGTTATTCTGAAATTCCAGATTTTCACCCCAATCTCCACACACATGACTCATGACTGGCTATTGATCGATTTGTCAGGAGGTTTAATGAGGAGATATCACTGTATTGTTGTGATAGAGATGGCCTTTTGAAGCTTACTGGGCTGAAGTTACTAGATGATGTAGTATTTTGGATTGTAAATCAGCATGTTTGAGAAAATGAGCCTCTTTGGATTATGGAATATGCTATAATCAATCCTCATGGTAATGGCAGCCACCAGTCAGTATGTAGTGTGCCTTGGAAAATTGTTTTATCGTATGAATCACTTGAGGAATAACATACATGTCCTATTGACTGATGGAGTTGGACTATTTATGTAATTCAACCACTATTTCTGTCTTCTGATCTCTTTACTTGGGCTAGTCATGAAATGTAATTTCCTTGCATGTAATGAATACCATATTAATAACTGTGAAAGTTTAAACTTAAGAACAAAAATATTCAACTTTCGATTTTTTTGCTTGAGATCTCATTTCTATATTTGCTTGGCCTATTGGAAAAGCTAGATTCAAGTGTAAAGGCCAGAGGGAGAAGCTTAGTATCCTTTGCTCACCATTGGCATGTCTGTACTGTTTTTCATGGTTCTCTTTACTGGATTAGACGTTTCTGAATCGTTCTGGGAATTGCATGAGGGTTTCTTAACTTCACCAACACTCGAGGTTGAAAATTATCCCGAGGATTTTAAGACTAGCAAATATTGTACTAAATAGTGAAGCGAAACCCAAAATTTAAGACTTTGACATATCTAGAATTTTTGGGAACAAACAGAAAGAGCTTCCGACAATGAGAGTCATTGTGATATAGTTACTCTTTTTAACTTCTTCTGCTTTCTCATTTCAATATCAATACATGATCATGTTTTGTTAAAATGCAGTGGTTATATGTCCCCTTGAAATTTCAAATGTGATCAATTTTTCAGTGTGGGTTTAGCTTCGGTGTCCTAGCATTGGAGGTAATAGCTGGGCAGATGAATGCGAGTTTTCATCAACTAAGCATTCTACAACCTTATAGGACATGTAAGTAGACAATATGGTGCAGTTAACTTCCTTTCTGATTTTACTTATTTTATCTAAATTGCATTTCTTATTTGCTTTGCAGTTAACTTCTGTTCTGATTTTACTTATTTTATCTAAATTGCATTTCTTTCAAGCAAAATAAGCTTGAGGATGAGAATACTCTTGAATTCCTAAATAATTCTTTGCATGAGTCTTTCCTAGTGAGTGAAGTTATAATATGTATATAAGTAGAGGATAGACAAGCAATAAGTTCTGCAGTTTCAATGATAAATAATGAAAATGCACAGCTGCCACAACCTAAAGATGTGTTTTCTGCTGAGGCTTCAACCGTGAAGATATATTCAGCATCCACTGATACAACCATATATGGAGGCTAAGATGTCTAGATCTTAGTATAGTTTGCAGTAAACATGAATTGAACAGATTTCCTAAACAGACTAGCTCAGTAAGGAAAGATTTCATTTTAGGTAAAAGGTTACCCTTCCTCTGGATCCTATATCATGCTAAGGAACAATTATTACCATTCTCTGATTGCATGCTTAGGTAGTCTAATCTTGTTCACGATTCAAAGTTGAGCAAATATGATTACCCAATACTTTCAAAACATCGACTAACGAAAGTACTTCCCTTGATGAAGAAGTGCTGTCCATTATAAGGGAGTTGTACTATGTAACAGGAAGGACGTTATGACATGCAATAATCCATGCCTCAAGTTTAAATTAGTTGTGGATTAGATTGATTTGTACAACACTTAGTTATAACATTGAAGAGGATGGAGGAATAAATAAAGAAGGAAATGAGCTGCCTCATCTTCGTTAAAACTTAGAAATTCGTCAAGTTGAAATAACAAACATGATTGAGAACTGGTTCAGTCGCAATTATTGCGACTTATCTCCTAAATTTCTTTACCTTTTTGGAGTTGTTTCAAGGTTATGCATGGTCTTCCTAAACAGATACGTAATAGACTATGTTCTTTTGCAAGGCAAACACTCATAATTTACATAGGTCAAAACCAGTAGTGTCAGTTACGTTTCTTATGTGACTTATAGTTAACTTTTCCTAAAGGGGCAGGAAATATCTTTGGACTCTGAAGTATGCATTAATGACAGGATTATCTCTCAAAACAAATCTTCAAACCAGATTTCACTAAAGAGTTAAAGAGCCTTGGATGTAACTATGTTTTCTCAAAAGAGGTTCCATTTGCAGATGTGTCTGGAGAAAACTCAACCAGATGAAAATGAACTCTTTTCATTTAGTGGAAAATTTTATTTATGTTAGAGCTAACAAAAGTTTGAACCATGACGGATATTCCGGTGTTCTCTAACCAAGACTTTAGAAGCATATTCCGTGAAAATATAGTCAAGTAATAGACAGTCGTCTAAATGTTTTATTTAAGATGGAGAGTGGATTTCCACAAATTAACTAGGAAGTTTTAACTTTTCCTATAGGGGAAGGATATGACTTTGGCCTCTGAAATATGCATTAATGACAAAGTTATCTCTCAAACAAATCATCAAGACAAGGTTTTAATGAAGAGTTCAGGAGCCTTGGATGAAACTGTGTTTTCTCAAAAACTGAACCAGATGATATTGAACTCATTTTTTTTAGTGGAAAATTTTATTTATGTTAGCTAAAAATAGTTTAAACCATGAATTATATTCCGGTGTTCTCTAAACAAGACTGCAGAAGCATATTCCGTGAAAATATAACCAAGTAATACATAGTCGTTTAAATGTTATATTTGAGATAAAAGAGTAGATTTGCATAAATTAAATTGTGACTGATCTTTCAGTTAATGCTGACACAAATCCTAGTCTTTTTTTTTGTCCTTCCTCTTAAGTAAAAAGATTGAGAAAACAACAAGGCTCATATGCATTTCAACTTGCCCTCAAGAACTAACCTTTTAACTTTTGCTCTAGCTCTTTGTTATATCTTCATTTTAATTAGCAACACAGCTTTTTATCTAACATCAGCTGATCATTTACCTTAACGCCAATTTGTGCTCTTGAAGATTTCAGGATACATGTTGATTCTCTTCCTTGAATAAAAGAAAAGAACACCATGAGCCATTCTGATATATCTGCTTATGTAGTCCCTTTTAAATTTTTCCTATTTCTAGGCTAAGGTCTAAATTTTCTACCACTGTCTCCTAAATGCTTTTATTCTACACCTGGCTATCACAAAGATGAAACACATGCCACATAGCTAAAAACGTAAATCACTTTCTCTTGTAGAAGCCTATTTAACATTGAACTCTCAGTACTTTTCCATGTAAAAGCTAACCTAGAAGCTTAACTTGAATAAAAACCTTTGATTTCCTTAGCTCTCTCCTGTCTGGGCAAGAAAGCAATGGCTTCCATACTTTCTTGTCTATTCACTATCTGTCTTCTGCATATCTCCATAACCTCATATGCATGTTGTGTTGCTGCAAGTGATACTTTGTTCCTATATCAAATCCTCAGGGATGGCAAGACATTAGTTTCGTCCAACCAAAGATTTGAAATGGGATTTTTTGGTTCTACTACACCATCTCGACACACAAGGTACCTGGGATTGTGGTACAAGAGTATAGAGTCTGGTATAATATGGGTTGGCAATAGATTGAATCCACTTGGACATGGTGCAAGGCTTGTATTCAATGCACAAGGATTCATTTTTCTCCAAGATGATACAGGAAAGAAGGTACGGATTTATACGCCAAAACAGATTGTTCTCTGGCCAGTTTTGCAGCTCCTAGATTCAGGTAATCTTGTGTTTCGAGATTCTATCAATCTTTCAGCAGGAGAGTACCTGTGGCAAAGCTTTGATTATCCTGTCGATACATTGTTACCAGGAATGAAGCTTGGTTGGGACCCGAAAACTGGTCTTAACCCAGCCATGAATTCCTGGAGGACAAGTGATGATCCAGCTCCTGGTGAGTATTTCTTCAGGTTAGAGTCAGGTGAGTCAGGTCAGTCACTCCAACTAGTTCTTGAGAAAAAACAGCAAAGAGCTTCAAGGTGGGGTCCTTGGGATGGACAAATATTCAGTGGCGGTGATGCCCTCATGGACGACCTGGTACTCAGACCAGTATTTAACTCCAAAACTGGTGCATTTTATGTTACATTTGAAGCCAAGAACGACAGCAGATTGAAACTGTCACTGAATCCAGAGGGCAAGATACAGTTCCTGAAATGGACAAATGCCACTGGCTGGATTCAAGTGAAGGTCCTGAATAAGGACATATGTGACAATTATAGGACTTGTGGGCCTTATGGAGTTTGTTTCGTTGAGAATCCATCCTGCCGGTGTCCTGATGGTTTCACGGCTACATCACCAGATGACTGGGACAAGATGGATTATACCAACGGATGTAGGAGAATGACTCCTCTTAATTATACTGATAAAGATGTGTTTGTGAAGAATACTGGACTGAAGTTGCCTGATAATGCAACTTACTGGGGAATGTTGTCCCCCAAGGAGTGTGGAGAGAAATGCTTGAATGAAAGATCGTGCATGGCTTATACTAACATCAATATCAACAGAAATGGCAGCAAATGTTTCGTTTGGTTGGGAGATTTACTTGATATGAGACGTTCGGAAAAAGCTGGGAATGACATCTATATACGGATGACACACGGAAGACTAGGTAAAAATTATTGACAAGTTCTATGATTACCTACTTATGATACGATACTGTGTCAATGCATTAATTATTATTATAGCCTGTTTGGCCAAGATGTTTTTGGGCCAAAAGTGCTTTTTTAAAACAGAGGTGTTTGGCCAAGCTTTTAGAAGGAAAAAAAGTACTTTTGAGGAGAAGCAGAAGCAGATTTTGAGAAGCAGAAAAATGTAGCTTCTCTCCAAAAGCACTTTTTTGAGAAGCACTTTTGAGAAAAAATACACTTAGAAGCAGTTTTCAAAAGTTTGGCCAAACACTACTTGCTGCTCAAAAGTGCTTTTCTAATTAATTAGCCAAACACAAACCGATTCTCACCAAAAGTACTTTTTTGAAAAGCACTTTTGAAAAAAAACACTTCTCAAAATAAGCAGATTTTAGAAGCTTGACCAAACATGCTATTAGTATGGTGCAAAATTACGCGTGCATAAATGACATTTGAAGGGTGAAATAGTTGTGTAAGTTAGTTGTTGGCGCACACACATTCATTAATAGAATTCCCCATATTAACAAGTACTAGATTAACTGTTATATTTTAGCTATTTTCAATCTAAGTTTTGAAGATGGATAGGCATCTCCATGTTATCTTGAAACAATAGGTATGTTTGAAGCATTTTACTGAATGTTGTCGACTTAACTGCTACACAATCTAGCAAAAGATGAAACCAACCTGAATGCAGCTGGTCTTTCTCATTACAAAATCTTTTAACTTTGTACTCACAGAATAAACAAATACCTGAAGAAATCCCTTCAAGTTTGCTGCTTAAATTGCTAATGCTGAAGTCTGATTTCATGAAAAAGAAACAATTAACACTTCTTTCGTATGAACAGAAGCAGCTGTTGCCCATGGGAAAAGGAAAAGGAAAATGAAAACGAAATGGATAATATGTGTTTCTTTAACCTCAATGCTGGCACTTCTTATCTTGTCTCTACATTATCAGGTCCGGCGTCATGCAACAAAGACAGATGTGCTAGGTAAGAAGACTCACCTTTTGCCGCTTTTATATTATTTTCATAGTTCTTCATTACAGCCCAAGCTTAGTTTCACTCAAACACTATTCTTGAAGAAAAATTCCTTTAACTCTTGATGTTTAATTCTTGACATGGGAAAGAATGAACACAGACATTAGCAATGAAAAGAAGTTCCTTGTACCCCCCCAGGCCGCTAACTAGAGTAGTTTTTTTTTTTTTTTTTTT